GTTCGCCTGTGTACGTGACGCGACATAAACAGGTTTTATTTATTCACGTCTTAGAAATAATTTATTATACTTCTATTTGAATTTTATAAAAGGGTAGAGAGTACGTTGGAACTGTTTTATAGTGGTAATGCCGTATACCCCAGAAAGCATGCTATTCGGTATCACCACTCTTTTTAAAAAATATACATTTGATGTACAATCTTTTTCGCATACAGAATACAAATTGTTGTCCCCGAGCGAAAATGTTGACGTAGGGTGACAACCGTTTTTACTTTAGCAACTGTTTTTTTTTTTTTTTCACCACAACGTATTGGCCAAAAACGTATACATATATTGCAAAAAAACAAATGTTACGAAAAAGTGAAGGCAGTTAGTATGGCGTGAGACACCAACTTGCTGCCCTGAATCAGCTGTAGGAATTTGTTCCGATGATATCCCCGCTTTATTTGTATAAGTTTTCTGAAAATTGTTCAATAATACACCGTTTTTTTTTTTTTTTTTTTCAGGGAGACAGTGGAGGACCTTTGATGTACGAAAAAGATGGGCAATGGTTTCTTGCTGCTATTAATGCTGTAGGTGATGAGTGCTTTCACCCTCTTGGGCCATCACATCATATTAGGGTGTCACACCTTATTGACAGGTTTATTTTACCCCTCATGCAGCAATATCAGGATTCGGAATCACCGAAACATAACTTATGTATGAAGGACGAGGCTCGAAAGAAATGTGTAACTGCATTCTTTCACTCTTACAACGTGTCAATGATTCCGTAGTAGACGACAAATGTAGTGAAATAAATCGTTAACAGGTTATCATATACTCTTGTCATGTATCTTCAATTCACTTCTAAAAATGAACCTTTTAAGCAAGCGTTTGGGAACAAATTGACACTAGTCCTGATTACAACACTAAACGTCAAAGTTTACTCAAGGGTTGTTGTTGATATTGTTGGAACGTTCTTTATTGCCCTGTTATATATAATATATGGATATGTATACCATACACACATATAATGCACCATTGTCGTCTGCATCGGTGTGGGCCTAAGGATCCGCCATTGCCGTCACGGCGGTTTGGGTCCCAGCGCCTTTGGCTGCTGCAAAGTCATCCGCCGGGGCCGTCGTCGTCGTCAACGAACTCCGCCAGCTTTGTCCACACCAGGGAGACGATCGCCTTGTCACGACTGGTGGGCAGAATCCAATCGACGTACGTCGCCGGACGGATCTCGTCTGGGAGTTCCTTCAGTTTTGTTTTCCGAAGGCGAGCGTGGCGCTTGCACTTCCAGACAACAAGGGCAGCCGTCGCGGTCCTGCGGCACCGGCGACACGCCCCCCCCGTGGGAGTCGTCGCTGAAGAACTTATGGCGCAGTGCCGGGGAGAGGACAGTGTTGGTCGCGAGGCGACGGACGAGGGTCTTAGTGCTCCTCGGTAGGTCATTCGGCATCGGAAGAACGGGACGCAACCGCTCGTCCGGGCGTTCCTCCCGTTCCTCACGTAGGTGCCGCAGGGTTCTCCGCCTTCGCTGTTTAGCGCTTTCCTTGACGGCAAACGGGTCGGCCGGACCGGCTGCCTCGTCGGCTGAGTTGTGGAATGCATTCGGCGCGGAAGGCATCTGGCGAGCTGCTGCTCGCGCCTCGCTTTGGGCCCACTCGTTGCCGTCGCTGCCCGCAAGGGCAGCACAGAGGAAATAGTAGCTTGGATGTTGAGGTTGTTTCGAAGTTCTAGGAACGCGGCGAGAGACTCGCCGACTATTCCCGTATAGGTTGAGGGGTTCCCGCACGCTCGTCTGCAAGTTTCGTACGCGCGGGTCGAGTCGGTGAACAGTAGGAGCGATGTCTGCTGGTGCGAAAATTTGAAGAACCCACTGAGATGCTCGGGGGAGTGCCATGAGTTGCGCTTGCAAAGTTTCGAAATCTTCAGTGGTCCAAAGTGGAGCCGCGTTCGGAATGCCATGGGCGGTGTCGACACACGCGACAGCCTGGACGTGCTTGGGGGTTCTGTCCTCTCCTTCGCCGTCGTCGCCGGCAGTCGACAGCAAAGTTTCCGCCATGTCAGTGTAGATTATGGCGTGCGTAGGTGGTGATTTGTGCGCGACGCTACGTGTGTGGGCCTTGGCAAAGCGTTTGCGTCGCTCCGTTCTGCTCGGTGGAGGTCCCACGTTTCGGGGGAGGGGTTTTCCTTCGGTAAGCGTGACCGGGGCGACCCCCGGAGGATGCGAGCGCGCGTCTGCCGGGCGGGCGTCCAGACTGGGAGACACGCGGAGCTTTTCCAATATAGAAACCCCAGCTGTCGAGCTGCTGAGGCGGTCTCTCTAAGCGAGGTGCGCCTGTTCGGCGAGTTCCAGCAGGAGGTTCATGCCGCAGTGTGCGTGCAGCTCCCAGAGGGGCGTGTGCTTAGGCAGTCCGGTGACGATGCGGATGGCTTCGCGAATGAGTCTTTCGAGTTGCTCCGCCTGCCTTGGCGTGAGGACGTGGTAGGTATAGCCGTAGAGGATACGGGATTCAAGCAGCGCCGTGACGAGCTGGCGCGTTACTGTCTCCCGCGTGCCCCACTGGAGGTGTGTGATTCTAGGGATGAGGCGGAGGAGGGATCTGCACTGCAAGGCGACTTTCGTCACCCACGAGGTGTCTTTCCCATCTTGATCTATGTAGGCTCCCAGGATCCGAATGGAGGGTTTTTGCCGTATCCTTTCGCCGGCCATGCTGTGGGCGATTTGGTTGCGGACCCTTTCGGTCTTTCTGTGGAGCCCGTTGAGAACCAAGGCGTATTCGGTCTTCTCGACCGACGCAGTCATGCCCAGATTCCGAAGAAAGGCCTGTATGTCGTCGAGGACAAGCTGAATCGTGTGCTCGTGTTCGCCTGCCGATACCGTTGTTACCCAGATGGTGACATCATCGGCGTATACGGCGAAGCGCAGCGACGGAGCCGCTTCAAGGAGTGGGGGAAGTCTTGCCATGACCAGGTTGAAGAGGTTGGGTGAGAGGACCGCGCCCTGGGGTACCCCGGTCCTGTTCGGTTGAGAGGGTCCGATGAAGTCACCGGCTTTGTTCTTGTGCCTACGGTCGTTCAGGAAACTCTTAACGAAATTGAGGAGGTGGCCGCACACTCCGGCAAGCACTGAGCTCTGGATGACCGCCTCGTGAGGGGCGGTGTCGAAGGCCTTGCGAACGTCCACCGCCACCACCGTTCTCGTCTGCAGTTTCGAATAAGCGTTAAGGACTTGGTGGCGCAACGTAAGGAGAATGTCTTGCGTGCTAATCCCGTGGCGGAATACGAGTTGATGTGGGTGGAGTGGGATTTCGTCTCAAGGTGCCACAAGAGTCGCTCGAGGTCTATACATTCAGTGAGTTTACGCTGAAATCGACCGGAGGTTACTGGGGCCATTCGGTGGCTTGCCCGGTTTTGGGAACGGTATCACCAGGGATTCGCGCCAGGAGCTCGGGAAGTCGCCCGTCGTTCAAATCTCGTTGATCGCGTCAAGGAGGAGCTGGAGGTGGAGTTCATGGAGGTTGCGCAGTTCCGAATTGGTTATCAGGTCTGGGCCAGGTGCACTGCGGGCGTTCACCCTTGCTAAAGCTGCGTGAAGGTCGGCCATTTGAAATGGTTGGTCTAGGTCCATCTGCTCCGGTGCTTGGAGATCCAATGCCTGAAAATCTCCGATCATCTGGGTTGGTGTCGCTGAGTCTCGGGAGTATATAGTGGGATTCGGTGAATCCACAGGCTGCGGGAAGAACACTGCTCCTCCAGCCTGGAGCGCCAGCTTCTCTCCGAGATTCGCATGCGTAGAGCCGTGGTCTGGGCCGCACGGTGCGTACTTGGCTTAGACCTGCCAAATCGAAATATGTGTCATATCAGCGCTCCGTTCATGTTACCGTTGAAGCTGGAGCAAAGGTGCCACCATCGGTCTGTAGAGAATGTATGTGCGTAATCGCGCGCCTCAGCCGTTGTAAGGTTCCGACGACATCGTAGTCCGGGCGTTCGTCCTCTCTTGCTGTACGCACGTAGCGCGTCGAGGCGTTGTTGCCAGAAGTTAGCGAGGTGCAAGTGCAGCGACGGCTTGTCCTCCGCTCCATGAAATTGCTGGGTACACGACGGTTTGGCTTCGTGTATTGTCTGTAGGAGGTGGGCCAGCTCTTGCGTTTCCGGGTCACCGCCCGATGTGGGGTCCGGTGTTTGCTCCAGCTCTCCGCGGAAGGCGTCCCAGCAGACGACGCCGTCGTTCACTTCGGCTCCTGTCTTCATATCAGCCAGCACTAGACCCTCGCCGAGGGAGTATTGTAACGCAAAGGCGACTGCAAAAAAGCTTGAGATACGCTGTTCGTCGTGGCATGGTATAGCAACAGACAAAAGACAGCACTGGTGCTTGGTACATACGTCAGTGGGGCCCTTCATGCACTCGCGTAGTTGTTACACTAGCCCAATCCATACAAGGGCGAACGCGCCAACAGGTGTCTCTCGGCATTTCCTACGTTTTAGAGCTTCATCATTCAAGAACGGAGTCCATAATGGGCTTATGTCTCAGCATGGGCCTAAGCTAGTCTGCTAAATTTGCAAGTTGCAGTTTTAAGACGCTGGCGTGCAGTGCCGACCAGCTGTATCTGGCGTGCTTACTCTCATGTTGAAAACGATTGTAGATACGTAAAAGCTGCGAAAATGTAAAGATCATTGTGCTCTTTCACATCATATTTAACTTCCACCGGCGTGTAGTATATGAATATTAGGGCGCAAGCGAGCTGGTTTAAATTAAACAACATAAACCCCGAGGCTGCAGGTAAAAGCGCCTGCAATCTCGAGGTTTATGTAATGAGTGATATATTATGGAACAACAAATGGTATTTTACATGACCTTACTCATTTCAGAAGGAATTTAACGTTACTTCCTTTCAATAAAGTCAAGTCAGTACTGAAGCAGTCCTTGCGGCCTACTTTCCATGACACTGTGACGGTCACGAACCTTCTACGCATCTTGTTTCGAGAGGAGAAACAGAAAAATTAGTACGATGTATTTGGGGTACAAAATTTATAAAAGTGGTTATTTACTGTTCTTAGAGTCACACGCTTTGAAAGACATAACCTTGTCCGACCTTTGTGGTCAACCTTTGTGGTAAACAAGAAAGCATCTCAAAGGGATGTATTCATTTTATACGTAACAAATTTATGTCTGTTCTTTAATTCGTTTTGGGTAGTTTTGTTTATTTCTGCAAAAAGTTAGAGTAATTACTGCTTATGCGCTACAACCTGAAAACCATGAAAACGTTGTCACTTTAGCAGTAGTGTTCCTAATAAGTCTCGTTGAGAAATATGTTATGTTTCATGAACACACGTTACGAATATTTCTCTTTAATATAAACACGCCATTGAGGCCAACAATTTCTGATGCTTTATTTTGAGGGGGGCAACGGAGGGCCTTGAGGTACGAAGATAACGGTCGGTGGACTCTTATTGGTGTGATTTCTGACGGGCCGGAAGACTGCCAGCTATCACCCGGAGAGACCCTCTGTGAAGGTCTCGCGCTTCGTGGACTCTCTTATTTCGAAATTCTTGCAACCTGGAAATCACATTGACAAATATGCCACGTGTGCTACGGAGGATGCTCATAAAAATTGTGTAACAAAGTTATTTTCAGTTCTACAACATGTCTGTAGAACTATAAGGCATCCTGAGGGAATTTACCTTCGGGTTTATAAAAATATAAAAATAAACAAAAAGTTGCGCCTGTGTAAACTTTTATTTACCTGCATATGTGATCTTACTTGCTTCGTGCAAATATGTGTGATTGCGCTCGATGAAGACTGCCAATAAAAATACAGTGAGTGAGCAGGAGAGCTAATGAATGTGGCATAACCTGTTACATTTTAGCCACTGTCAACATGATTTCCTTCTTCTGGCACACTCACCGGCTCTATTAGTAATGAAAAATGCCTTCCTCCTGCTATATTCGGGCTCAAAATTAAATGAAATAAACTTTTTTTTTTGGCAAGGATCTTTCTTTCGTAGTTTCGGGATGACATCTCTGGTCAGTAAAGTGACATTTCCTTTCTTAGCACGATCATTCCGAATGTTCCTTCGAAATACTATGCGAAAATTGATTAAAGGAAAATGGTCAGAAACGCTTCTCTTGAAAATCATAATTCACGGGATCCTACAGTTAACGAAGCGATCGATTAAATTTGTTTAGAAGGAATTGAACGTCACGCAACATTTTGTTGTCAGGTCGGCCTGTCACGTGATACCATAAAGTCAAATGCGTTCACGTCACAAGCCTTGGTAACGAGACACCGTGACGTCACGTGACTTCACGCCACGCGACGTGCACATGCGACCTGACATCACTCAACGCTGTCACGTTTCATGAAGGTCGGGCATCAAGTCGTGGTATTATGTAATACCGTAACATCACGTGGCCTTATTGAAGTAACAAAGTACGTGCAGGCGAGCTGGTGAACTTTCAACATCTTCAAATCCTTGCGCCTAGGAACGAAAAAGAGGACGACACACAAAGTGACTCAATCAGAGCTGTTATGCTTATTCGCGCTTCCTTGTTCTTATGTACGTATCCCAGCTGACCTTTCATCACAGGAATTTATATAGCAGCCGACAACAACCTTTCCTGTTCAGAACCTTCAACGGTAGGGGAACTTGGCGACCGACACGCTTAATCTAATCCCGACTTCACGGTCATTCCTTCGTTCCCGGTCCAAACAAATCAGTCAAGCGACATTGGGAACTTCTTCGGCCGTTACTGGTGATTGGCAGGATACTAACGTCAAAATTTGACCTCGACTTCTCGCGCGTAATCGAAAAACCAATTGTTCTGACATGTCTTGCCATGATGTATGAACGAATGACCAAACAGACGGAGGTAGGAGCAATTTTCTGTGGGTATGAGATCTCGTTACAAAGCGTTTCCGTGCCTTTAAAACTTCTACTCACTGCGCTCAAACGGCGATTTTTGTAGTTCAAAGCAGCCGCTAAACTGGAGTTTTTAATATGCCTTCGGAGCTAGGGATCGCTGACAGATAAAAAAGAGAAAAGGCTGAATTTGAGCTCCTTGCACTCCAGTATGCAGCATATGCTCCACGCGACGTGAGGACAGCCTGCCTTTTGTTCGCTCAGGTGATGAGCGTTTTCTGGCCTCCCAAGGGAAACAAACTACCCAGGTAGCACAATAGGTGGCGCCCATGTGGGGCCCAAGTGGGCAATGGGGGCTCAGGCAGCCGCTGCGAAACCCACGTTGGTCCCACGTGGCCGCAGCGCGGGCATGCCCAATATGGGCTTCCCACGCAGTGCCGCGCGGTGGGACCTATATCGGATATACGACGGCGAATTTTGGCACAGCGTAGGCACGCCCAACTTGGACTGCACATAGGCCCCCTGCGTTGCCCAGGAGCCACTGCGAGAAGTGGTTTATGAGAACCTGTTTTAGGTGTACAAGCTTGAGTTTCAAACTGTCACAGAGGTAGAAGCGTGCCTGCTCAGGTGCGGGACCAGATAACGAGGAAAGCACAAATGGAACCAAAACATTCTAACGCCGCCGAAGCGCAGGTGGGTCATTCCACGTGAAACGTCCCAGACGTTGCGCTCGACCACCTCCGATTTCTAAAACAAAATTCATGGGCTTCGGCCACAATGTCCGTAGCCATACTTTAAAATAGTTTTGACGAAAAAAAATTTGTGATGCCGTGAGCGCGATTTTAATTTTTGAAAACAGCGTGAAGCTTGGCATCATTCAATAATTTACGAAAAATCTGCTTTTTTATGAAACACCCAACAATATTTTTTTCTTAAATTTGCACGGTTGCCGGCTTATAATGTGGTTGAGTTTGTGCAGTTTTGTTTAATTTAAATATTTTTTACAAATACATAATTTTATTCAAAAATAATCATTTGTGATGACGTGAGCGCGATTTTAATTGTTGAAAACAGCGTGAAACTAGGCATCATTCAATAATTTACGAAAAATATGCTTTTTTATGAAACAGCCAACCATATATTTTTCTTAAATTTGCACCCAAATTTGCACCCAAATTTGGAAACGTCCCAGACGTTGCGCTCGACCACCTCCGATTTCTAAAAAAAAATTCATGGGCTTCGGCCACAATGTCCGTAGCCATACTTTAAAATAGTTTTGACGAAAAAAAAATTTGTGATGACGTGAGCACGATTTTAATTTTTGAAAACAGCGTGAAACTGTTTTCGGTGAAACTAAATCGGTGAAACTAAATCTTTTCCCGAACGGATGCGCCAGCACCAGAACGATGTGCGCAACTTCGATCGCGAGCGTAGCGCCGTCGCGGAACATTGTGAGGTGTTTGATCATCGGATCGACTGCGGAAAAGCACATCTGATAGACACGGAGCCACATATTCGAAGACGCCTGTTCTTGGAGTCGTGGCAGATCCAGAATACACCGGGGAACATTAACAGGTCCCTCGGGGCCTTAACATCTATTTACGTCTATGGCCTGCGTCACGTTCAGAAAACATCACCTCGGTAGAAGAAGAAGGAGAGGTCGAAGCTCGCGCTGTTCCATTCCATTTTTAGTCACCCCTGAAGAAGGAGTCAAGTCGACCCCGAAACGCTGGGAACTGTTGTTTCTAAACTTTTGGTTTGAGTTTTCTTTTTTTCGAATTGTTCCACAAACCAGACAGATTTCTGTCGAAGATGTTTACTTTCAAGTCATTATCCATTGACTTTGGACCGGAGACAGCCCAGCTAGCGAAGCGGTTTGTTAACATCACCCGCAGCATCGCTACCTACAAGACGCATATTGACTTCACGATGGCCTGCCAGGACTTGCACGTGATTCCCAAAAGCCTCCGTCTCAAGCGCCTCGTACACACCCAGGAGGGAAACAAGATCTTGGCACAGGCGGAGCACCGGTTGGTAAGCGCCAGGATTCACGAGTGCCACTCCATCCTAAGGAGAAAAGAACTGGACCTGTACTTCACGCGTCGGCAGCTCGAACATCGCATCCCCGGTGTGCTTCCGTCGTTGCAGTCGTTCGCTTCCAGCATCGCCTCCGCTGCTAGAGAAAAACGACAGGCATCTCAAGAAGAGAAGAAATTTCTATGCTAAGGAAAAAAGACCCGGAAAGGGAAGGCGCTGACACCGCCAGTTTTGTAACGAACCTGTCTTCAAGACAGCTCTCCCCCTGCGAGATTAAAGTCTTGGCAAAAGGCCACGGCTTCAACATGACCACGACCCGGCCCCCTCTACCAAAAATGATTGCCACTGTGGAAGACGGCATTGGGCGTCTAGACCCCAGCGTCCGAGAAGGTGTACGACTTAAAGCGATAGACATCCTTTCAAAACCTCCGCCGAGGCAACGCCACAATCTATCTCGCGATGAAACTGCTGCGCTTCGGAAGCTCCGGATTCAGAGATTGTGCTACTGCCGACAGATAAAGGGAAATCTACCGTCGTCCTGGACCGGGAGGAGTACGAACAGAAGGCACGGGATCTTCTGGAAAGTCCGGCCTATAAAAAGCTTAAGAAAGATCCAACGTCCCAAATTCAGCGGAACATGAACAAGATGTTGTCTGACATTTTCAAGCAATATCCAGAGTCGAAAGTCCTTTACTTGCATCTCATCTGCAGGAATGGCTCTGCGCCAAGCTTCTACGGACTACCCAAGACCCACAAACCTAACGTCCCCTTGAGACCTATCGTGGACTTTACGACCTCACCGCTCCGAGCGCTGTCAAATTACCTACACCGGACTATAGCTCCCCTTGTTGGAAATACGCCGACACATGTGCTGGACACCGGCCACTTCGTGGAACGTGCCTCGCAAGTGAGACTCAGCGATGATGACACGATTGTGTCTTTCGACGTTGTTTCGCTCTTTACCAGCGTGCCAGTTCGCTTAGCAGTTGCTGCAGCCAGAGAGGTTCTCGAGAAAGACGAAACATTGGGCTCAAGAACCAGCCTCAGTGTTGATGAGCTATGCCGCCTTCTCGAGTTCTGCCTTGGCAGTACGTACTTCAGCTTCAAGGGTGAGCTTTTCAAACAAGTTAGCGGAACGGCAATGGGCGCCTCTATTTCGGTCACGACGGCAAACCTCACAATGGAAGTGGTTGAACAGAAAGCGCTTAGCACTTT